GATCACACATCAGCTGCTCAAAAAATGTGTCAGTGAGACGAACGGAGCGCGAGCGCAATCTTGTGACAGTCACTGCAGGCTGTAAAATGCGTGAAAGAGAGATGCGAGGGCACGAACACGGTTTAGTTTGTGCTTGTAGTAATTTAATGTGTATATATTTTGAAAGCATTGAATCGCTATAGAAATCGCGATTCATTCGATTCTTAGCGCTTTAAATCGATTACTGTCCGAAATCGACGATTCACGATTCAAAAATCCATGTTTCAAGATCGATGCATTGCATCGTCAGGGTTTGTAATCGATGCATCTAAACGAGTGAATCGTTACACCCCTAATTGTAACCTAATGCTGACTTTCTAGGACGTTAGAAGTGGAAGTTGTGGTTAGTTTTTTTTATGATAGTGGCATGACATAGCCTGATGACTCTATACATTGCATGACTCAAGCTTTGTTTTTTTTTAAACTTTCTTTCCATTTTATTGGAACCATATGGTTTATGAAGAAATCCTTACTTGAACTACAGTTAGAGTTTCCTTTGTTTTCCTTTAGTTTTCTTATTAATGTAATTGCACAGAATGTCATGGCATGTTCCATGGAAGTATATGACTTGGAATAACTGTACAACTGTACGCTCGAGTCAACATAGCAACTAGGATTCTATTGTAATCAAAAATGGTGTGATTCAATGCATATGTACTTGCCTTTCTGTATTTGCCTTTTGTCAACGACATTACTGCTGATCAAAGACTGGTTTGACAAACCTGTCAGGAGGTGAACTGTAAGTTATTAGTCGTGAGGTAAAAGTGGATTTTTTTTTCTGTTCATGGATATACACCCATTTCGGGATCACCAGCAGGTGAGTGTGCGCCTGCCATCCCCTCTCAGTAGTTCAAACGGATTGTCATTGTAACAGGGTGTGGTGCAAATGTAGGTAAACCCCATTAGGATTCCTATCAGGGATTGCCATGGCACCATCATAACAACAGAGAGTTGTGACCACAGGTTTCAGGTGATACCTGCATTATTTTGCAAAGCTATTCTAGGCTTCTGCTTTTGAATTGCTTTTAGAAACAACAGCAACAACAAACCTTTACCATTTACCTTTTTTTTCCTACACAGCATAGGCATTGCATGAAGGTTAGCACACTTTTGAGGGATATATAATACTGTCCCCCATCCATTTTTTTTTTTCATTTTTGAGAGAACTATCCCTTTAAAAATTATGCATTTAAGTATGTGCTCTCTCTTAAAACAATAGACAGGAAACACTCCCAAAGCCTTTCTACACGTATCTACAGGCAAACTAAAGCCAGTGTGCGCTTCAAAACATAGCCTTGCATCCCAACTATTATGAACTTTTTTTATGAAAACCACTGACTCAGAGCGTGATGAACCACGGTGGAGTTTCTATTTTTTTTTACCTTTCATATGAATGAAGCTGCTTCACAATGACCCACTAAAGATTTGTTTACACCTCTCTGTATATCATACGCCCATGTTTCCATTTACAGTGAATAGGAAGTATCTGAAAGTCCGAGATTGCTTTAAAGTAAAGCGGCCAGAATTCCTCAAGGGCTTTTCATTTCCGCTGGTCAGACTGAGATAACACACATTTATATGTCTGACGATATGCGTCTATATCAGACCCATTCTGGCTGAAATCTGTTTTACAATTCTCATCTTTACCAGGAAATGATGTGCACAAACTCACCATCTCTCCATTAGTTTTCTATTGCTCATCGACAAGCAGACAAAACCTAAGATTGATGAAGTGAGGGAAAGACAACCCAGAGATCCGACCCAAGGTTGAAAGTGTAAAAGGGACTTTTAAAAAAACGGCAGAAAATTTAAGATATTACAAATCTATTGATTAGAAAATGTTGTGTTGTATTTTATTTTATTTTCTGGCTGGAACTAATTCAGGCTCCTCTAAACTTCTGCATTACAACAAGAGGAAAATGAGCATAACATGAACTTCTCTTTCACACACACGTATTCTGTCATATGTGTCTGACATATTCTGTCATACTGGCGCTCTCTCTGGCAGCGGCAGGTCGCAGGCAGCGCCACTTCCGGTGGCATCCCCAGACGCAATGGCAGCCAGAATTTGCGCTTGCTCTCTCTCCATATTCAACTGTACATTACTCACAACATACAGTAGACATTATTTCTTGACTGTGCCTTTAATTTTATGCATTTATTCATTTTAAACAGCTTTCAGTAGATTATTTTTTATATTGCATCTTTTTCAAATAATTTGTTTGTGAAACAAATGAAAAAAGTTTCTTAAGCTTTCTTAAGCTTATTCAAAATAAAAAAAAGTGCTCTTACCTTCACTACTATATAATCAGACACCGTTGTGTGTCTGATCACAAAACCAAACAACAGTATGTTCAGGCAAATACTACTGTATGTGCGGATGTGCACGTAGGGCTGTGCTTACGCAAGGGATCGCTATGGCTCTCTCTTTTCACTTCTCATAAGGCGATCTCATTCATTTACTTTCATAGATTACTCATGCTCATTCATAAGTTTTTTTTTTTGTCTGTGGCCCCCTTTCTCCCACTGCGAGAAAAACAATGACTCATGTAGGTTCTGCGCACAGCCACCAAGTGACAGTACATGCACAGTCACCACTTCCTGTTTGCTCCTAAACTTAAAGGGTTAGTTCACCCAAAATGAAATTTACTCACCCTTAAGCCATCCTAGGTGTATATGACTTTCTTCTTTCAGGCAAATACAATCGGAATTATATTTAAAAATGTCCTGGCTGTTCCAAGCTTTATAATGGCAATGAATGGGTGATATTCAATACTCCAATAGAAGTCCAAAAAACTGTGCCAATCCATCATAAATAGTGCTCCATACAGTTCTAAATACATGTCGCACGTCTTTTTAAAAGACAAATTACTGCTTTAGTCTTTTCAAGTACATTAGTGATAGGAGAGATGATTCTTTAAGAAATTCAATTGCTTCGCAAAATGATTTACTGTTAATGCAATGTGAACACAGCCCAAGCGTGCATAAAGACAAGGTAAGTGTAATCTACAAATCATTAAATACCATTTAATAATATCAAGTGTCTGTATAATTTGTATTATGTCATTAATTTTGTAGTGCTTGTTTTATGTTTTTAGACAAGACTTGACTATTTAGGCCAATTACAGAAACTTTAATTTTATTAAAATGTAACCTACATTATAAAACTGACCTAAGATCAATTAAAACCATACATAAGACACTGGTTCATGAGTTCATCAGTGGTTGTCAACCTTTTTTGAGTACTGGACCCCCATAATATCTCAAACCGTCCTCATGGACCCCAC